CACACAAGATAAAATTAAAAAATTACAACGCACAAGATGAGAAATTAAAAATTACCACACACAAAATAAAATTAAAAATTACAACACACAACATGAGAAATTAAAAATTACAACAATCAAGTAAACATAGATAGTCTTTCAAGTCTCGGAATTGGTGAATTCTTCCCACAGATGATCAATTAGTGCATTTCGAAGAGCAATGTGATCATCTTTATTTCTAATTCTTTTGTAACGAGATATGAATTCTTCAAATCGAGTACTTTCATCTACTGCCATTTCGACCTCCGGCGGCGGCGTTTCCATTTCAGTTTCAATTGGTGCACTTAGGTCACGTTCATCCTCGACAATCATGTTATGCAAAATTATACATGTGGTCATGATATCATGTAGCACTTCTTTTCGCCAATAACGTATTGGTCGTGCTACAATGCCAAAACGTGATTGAAGAACCCCAAATGCACGTTCAACGTCTTTTCTACATGCTTCTTGTTTCATTGCAAAATGTCTTCTTTTCGGACCACGTGGCTCATGAATTGTTTGCACAATGGTAGACCATTTTGGATATATGCTATCAGCTAAATAATAACCCATGTTGTATTCTTTTCCTTGAATTATATAATTAGCTGGAGGAGCAATACCTTAGGTTAGATCCGAGAAAAGATGAGATGATTCTAGAACGTTGATATCGTTGTTGGAGCCCGGCAAACCAAAATAAGCATGCCATATCCATAGATAATAATCTGCTACAGCTTCAAGAATGATTGTAGGCTTTCCACTACGACCAGCATATTGGCCAGCCCACGCTGTAGGACAATTTTTCCACTTCCAATGCATGCAATCTAAACTCCCCAACATTCCTGGAAAACCACGTTGTTGACCAATATATAGAAGCCTGGAAATATCATCAGATGTGGGTCTCCGCAGGTATCGCTCGCCAAATACCTCAACTGTCGCTCGACAGAACTTTTTCATACTTTCAATTGCAGTAGAAATGAGAGAAGAAAATAAAATTTTGTTTCAAGATGTCAATTCCATAGCAGATCCTAGAGTTCGAGCATACGTTGAAGTTGAAAAAACACGAATCTTGGAGAAAAGAGCACAACAAGCCCAATCAGATCTATTTCCAACCAATGCATTTGGCCAATTTTTTAATGATCTTGGAGGAAGCGGTTCCAACTTACCAAATTACTAAATTGTCATGCTTGTTTTTTGGTTTCCGGTTTGGGTTTATGATGTATTTTTTTTTTTTTTTTTGTGTGTTTGTTTTTTATTTATCATGATTTAGGATGTATTTTTTTCTTTTTTTTTGTATGTTTGTTAATTTTCATGGTTTATGATGTATTTTTATTTTTCGTTGTTCTCTGTTATTTTCCGTTTTACAACTTTACAAATTAAACCACACTATTAAATAAATAATAAGATTAAAAAATAAAGTTATAATAAGATTAAAATATAAAATATAACAACAAAAACTGAAGTCATATAACTTGAAAAGAAATATATTTACATGACATAATTTGTGAATGATTTTTATTAACTTGTGCAATTGTTTTAATGTAATACATTAAATATATAAATATTATGGCATGTGTACTAAATTATTAAAAACAATAAATGTAATATATATTATATAAATGTTGATAAATAAACTAAAATCTAACAACTATTCATTATGTTAAAAATCATAATAAAATGGGGCAAAAGACAATTCACATCACTTTTTGGGGCCAAAATTAATTCTCAAAAGTTTTTGCGTTGATGAACAGTACATACGCAAATTTGCGTTCTTAGGAGGAGAGAGAAGGTTTCTACCGCATTTTGGGTATGCGTTTGCAGTACCATTGGAGCAATTTCTACCTCATAATTTGGGTTTGGAGTACGGTTGGAGTTGGTCTTATCCAGTAATTTGACCGGGATGTGCTGCAAAATCAACTCGTTAGCTAGAGAACAATTTTTTTTTTCTTTTGATTAACCAATACCTATCATTTTTACTGGTATAGAAATTTAATCGGAGTCTTGATCCTGGAAAATATAGTATTGGATATTTCTTGTTGAAATACACACGGGATACCTACGAACTGATATATATTAGATAAATACAATATATATATATATATATATATATATATATATTACCGGAAATAAATTACAACTGTAAAACAAAATTAAAACAAAATTAAAACAGAAAGATTTTAAGTTGAGGCGAGTAAAACTCTTTCTGCAAGAAGAATACGCCCCGTGTGGCTGCTAACGGTTCAGGCATAACTTTTCCAAAAGATACAACGGCAAACGTCTCTAAATTTGTAGCACACCGGATTTACGAGCTCCAGCGAACTGGATCGGAGTCGAGAATTGAACACTTAAAAATATAAATAACAATATCTCTCTTTTGTTATTTTGATAACAAATAAATATTTCTATATTTTTATTCTAACTCTCTATTTTCTTCTCCTTTCTTTTCCCGGATTTCCTCTTCACTTCTTGTGTATATTTCTCCTTCTTGCAACATATATATATATATAACACATGTGCAGCATGTTGGTGGTTGGAAATTAGGAAAATTTGTTTAATTGTCCACCAATTATTTTCCACGCATGGTATCAAATGGTTGAGTTGGATGAGAATATTTGGTATAGTGGTTGAAAGTGGTTGTCCAAATACCAATTGTATGAAATTTGTTGAACCAAACTCACATTTACACTCAATTTACTAACAATCCCCCACATGAGTGTAAATTAAATATGTATACTATTGTGCTCAATCTTCACAAAACTCGATTGCATCAGAAAAGATAGCTTTTGGCTTTGAACCTTCCTTAGTAAATATCATCGGATGCACTGGCGGACTAGTGGACATGATGCCTTGAACTATTCTTCCGTAGTGTACACCTACACAATGACATTTACACAATAAAGTTTTCACTCTATTTCGTTCTATCGTTGTGTCCGTTTTGGCCATGGACAACACGATGGATTCATAAGTGTTTACATTTGAAGCGGCCCACACTTCACACTTATATAGGTGACCTCCCTATTAAGAGTATCCTGTATTACTCCACCTTTACAAGGTTAGAAATTCATTAAAAGTCCACATGACTTACCCTCACCACAATCAATAGGTCATCTTGCACTTGGAGTGCTCTAGGGAATAGCTTTGGACATTCATATGTCCTAAGTGCTCAACTGAACTTTCATAACTTAGTTTTCCCTTTGAACCAAGTTCGTGGGATCTCCACTCAGCATAGTAGGGTTACCACTATGATCATTCTTTAAATTGTGGATTTTTAAGCCCATTCCCTCTAGCAAACTTCCCAATTGATCTATATTCAACCCTTTCGTCAAAGGATCAGCCAAATTTTCCTTAGACTTCATAACATCATTTGAGATTAATTGGCGTACGTATTATGCCTACGACGAATATGTCTAGACTTACCATTATACAAGTTGCTTTGCGCCCTTCATATAGCACCTTGGCTATCACAGTGAATCATCACAGGCGGCAAAGTCTTATTCCAACATGGAATACAAAATTTCTAAGCCACTCGGCTTCTTCACCAGCTTTATCTAAAGCGATGAACTCCGATTCCATCGTTGACCGAGCTATACACGTTTGTTTTGTGGATTTTCACGAAACTGCACCTCCTCCATACAGAAAACATATCTGCTAGTGGAGCGAGAATCTCCCGAATCTCATATCCAGCTTGAATCACAGTACCTTTCAAGTACGATTGGGTATCTCGAGTATTTTAGCCCATATTCAAGGTTGTACCTCAAGTACCTAAGTACCCTTCTCAAAGCATTCCAGTGCTCATGACTGGGATTGCTCGTAAATCTGCTCAACTTATTCACCGAATAGGCCAAGTCTGGTCGTGTACAATTCGTCAAGTACATCAGACTCCCTATTATCCGTGAATATTCCAACTGAGCCACTGGTTGACCTTTATTGGCTATCAGATTTATACTAAGACCAAGGGGTGTCTTACACCTAGACTGTGCACTGTCATAGGCATCAAATTTCTTGGTCACTTTCTCTACATAATGAGATAGTGACAAGAAAATTCCATCTTGGGTTCTGATAATCCTTATTCCAAGAATAACATCAGCCAAATCCATATCTTTCATGTCGAAATTTCTTTTCAACATTCTTTTCGTCTCCATGATCACTTCATGGCTACTCCCCATGATCGACATATCGTCTACATATAGACATACAATCAAAAATGTATTTGATGTATCGACTTCTTTCCAGAAGTTATCTTCAGCACCATAGTGCCTACTCCAGCCACATCAGACGTGGCTGAGTTTCACGTGTGAAGTTTTCGACCCGTAGCAGGAGTGTATTTAGAGAACACCTCCTTATCGGAACACACATGACGAGTGACATCAGTATCGATATACCACTCCCTTGAGTTATGTACCATATTGGCTTCAAACACCACTGACGACATATCAAAGTCGGTCTTTTCAACCAACGGCAGTTTATCAATAACAGCCGCAACTTGAAATGACTCACTCAGAGACATTCTTTCAGCATGAATATCATGCAAAATGAGTTGAAACTCATGCACTTTAGACACGAAGGTCTTAGTGTCTAACATTTTGAAGTCAAGAAATTTGCCAACGACGAATTTCTTCGCCCCAAAATCTTTACTCTTGTACTTCTTCTCCAAAGCAGCTCAAAGCTCTTTGGCAGGATCAACCGAGATGTATACATTGTACAACTCATCACTAAGTCCATTCAGGACATAGTTACAGCAAAGGTAATCACCTTGCCCCAAACCTCGTACGCAGTGCGTAGTTCAGCATTGGTTCATTTTCAGCAATGACCGAAAAGTCGTCCTTCAAGTACTTCACCAAACTCAAGGTGGTGTAGTAAAAGTGCATCTCCTACTGCCCCCTCTTGAAATCAAGCTCGTTATTTTTTTTTTCTTTTTTTTTTTTCGACTACTCAGTAGGGGATATTGACAGCAGGTACATGATGATTATGAACACCGTGGTTAATCATCTTCGAGTAGTTTGTGAACCTTTTCCGGTGGATGCCATCAGTTCAGTTCAGTAGGTCTCGATATAATTTTACACCCAATTTTTCTAACATATAATTAATCTTAAAAAATGACACCTAACACGACTTTGTACGTGCCCTTTTCTGTATACTTGGATTCAGATTTAAACTTGTGCCGATGTTGCTATTGCTATTGCAATGTTATAACTTGTAAATGGTTTTGACAAGCCTGCTAGGACACTTAGTTAGGAGATCTCTTTATAATTTAACCTTTGGGGGTTCAAGTCTCAGCTTGCTTGCGAATGTATTTTAGCTCACATTAGAACTAAATAAATTTAATGGAAAATTATCATATAGCCTTGTCAATGACACTTATTAACATAGGGATAAACTTGTGAACTCCTAGATTTAAAACACAGTTGTTGGCTATTCAGAACATCTAATGTCATTTGTGTGTCTATGTTATATAAATTTTCCATGTAGGTATATGTATAATCTATAGATCTCGTGTAAGGCCGGCTACGATTAGGCCGGCATACTCTTTTTACAAATATGCATACTTTCAATTGAAAATGTCATACTTTAAAAACATCATAAACCAAAGTATAACAAAGTATGATATTTGATAGTATAAGTATGCATTTTTGTTCATAGAGTATGGTGGGTCGATCTGCCTAACAATTAATGGCTGCCTCACACGAGAATTTGTGATTTATAATTGTGCCTGTATATGTGTATTCTTTAACAATTCTTGTGGGGAAACTGATGGACTAAATGTTTATATATGATAAAAAGCGATTGTATCCACTTGATGTTTTGTGTAATTCTTTTCCACATTGCCATTTAGTGACTTTTGACAGTTAGGTCCCCTTCAAGAGGTATTACTCTGAATGATTAATGTGCGTCTCACCTGTGTTAATAATTGGGACAGTAATAAAGACAAGACAAATTGGTTAAGAAACTTGATCAATGGATGGAGAAAGAAGAAGCCTTTAATTAGTAATAGGCAAAATGAATGAACTAACACACAAAGTTTATGCTTTTCTGTCTCATTACTCTACAGTTTAGATACGAGAGAAGAAAACACACATACAAGGCAAAAACCATTCAACAGATTAAAGTAGCAAGTTTTATTGTAAATTTAACAACTTGCAGATGTTGAGCAATTTCAAGAAATGACAAAGTTTGGAAAAACAGGAATGAAATGGAAAAGCAATACCATTTTATCAAGATTTTTTTGTTTGTTGACTGATTTTTTTTGCTCAGTGATAAGCTCCGTACTTCGAAGACCATTCTATCTTCTGCCGACATTACAAATGAGTACACATTGGGGCAACCTAGAGAAGCTTTTGCATTTTCTCAGTGCTATAACAATATTTCTGTTAGGGAATCATCTGGTTTGACAAGTGATATTTCTCAGTTAGAGCAGTTTATTAGGGAGCATGTTAAAGCTTAGGACATGTTTGTAATTTTTAGAAGTTGAATTTTGGGTGTTTGGAATTGTAAAAGAGAGTTTTCACTTGTGAATACCTAAAACTCTTAAGGCCTTACTAAAATGTTGATGATCATTTCATCAATATAAAATTTGTACAGCTGAATCCCTCAAGGGTCTTACTATGATCGTCTCGGTTGGTACAAATGAAATATAATTTGATCATAAATAATTAGTGGAATGTTCACATTTGAGCAAAGCCCATCTGTCATGTCGCTGTGAAACATCTCTTCAACCTCAAGATGAGACAACAGATCCCAAAACATGGAAGAAGCAGCAATCCAACACCCAAGTACCTGCAAAAAAATCATTAAATGGAAAAAATTATGTTCATAACATTTAAGACTTCTCTAATTACATTGTAGATTTTGCTTATAAGCAATCTTTTAATTTTTTTTAGGCAAGAAAATAAAACGTATTATCACGTACCACAATGGAGCATATGGAGAAGACAAGTCCAGAAAAGGATAAGGCCACCTGTTCAAGCAAAGGAGTTGAAAAAAATAAATTGTTTAGAGAATTAGTTTAGTGATAATGATATCACAGAGGAAAAGTAGAATGATACCTTATTGATAAAAAGGCATGGACGATCCACTGGAAAATGACGTATATGCACGTCCACAGAACAAAATATGCTATCCGGAAGAAGGGGAATCGCTGTAAGAACTTGTTAATGCCATTAATCTCAAACTCTAAATCTAGTAGTAATCGAAAGAGTGTTTTAAGAGACTTTATTACTGTACCAGGTGGTTTAAAATTGCATCACCCAGAAGAAAAACAGCGTTCAGAGAATGCTTACTAACAATTAGCTGCAGACAATTGTTAAGATGTCAAGTTAAATCATCGACAGAATAAGGGTAAACTTGAGATAGACATAACAATCGCACTTTCACATTCTATGATCATTACAGACATGCATAGAGCCTTGTATATACCATTACATTACCCTGAGTGTAAAGGGTTAGTCTAAAGTTTGTATAAAATGTAGCAGTTGTGCAATTTTGAATTAATGAAAGGATTATCAGCACAATTAGTTCGGAACCAAGGGATTCGATCTTGCAGCTGAGAATCATATTTTTAATTTTAAATTTAAATATTTTCCCTTTTATAGTGTTAAACCATTCACACTATTTATATTCGCACCAGATTACATATTTTTNAAAAAAAAAAAAAAAATACAAGCTTGGGGAGAAAGAAAAAGACCTGAAAAATGTTTACTTACGAAATTCAATCTTCTAGCAGCGATATACGGATAGAGTACCACCCAAAAGACAGAATCAGTGAGCACCACAGACCCAGCACACATCTACGCTAGAAGAATAAGGTTCAAAAAATGAAGAGTATAATCTATACAGTAACATGATAATCAAGAGCTAAACTCAAATCCCCCATTATAATTTACTCTTTATACGACAACAAGAGCCTCTCTACCTTAAGAAATTGAAGGCATTCATAGTGCACGATTACTTTGCCGTAATTTCCGTTTGATACTTCCATAACATTTATCATAAGGCCATCTAATACTAACCTGAAAAATTATTTGCAGGGCATATCCCAAGGAAGATGCAAAAGTTCTGATATTAGGTTCACCACAATGACTCGATCCTTCACTCTGGCTGGGCCCCACAGCACTCTCCACGAGTGATGGTGGTACATAGGAACCATTTTTTGACTCCGTACAAGTTTGGCAATCCATTTTCACTTTCCCTTCACGATAGTAATGTAAACATCCACGGATAGAGAGAAAAGACCCAACCTTCAAAATCGAACCCCTTAAGTGTATGTAAAAAGACAGGTTAAAATGGCATAAGACAAAGACATGGGTTTAAATTTTTTTTTAAAAAAAAGGTCATATAAGCTATGAGGTTCCTTATTTTTTCTTTGATGGCCTTTATAGGATCTCGGTTAACACAATTATTTCAATAAGTAAAGCAGATCTCAGAATGAGTAACATACCCCAAAGTAAATTGTGACCAAAGTAAATGTCCACCTGTTTCATAAGAGGAAAGTGAGACGAAACACAAGCAAGAAACAAAATCATCAAATACAATTAGATAAAATCATGCTCTCTCTAAACAAAGCAAAATAATAGGCCTTACACAGTATAAAAGAAATACTGGATAGCACCAAGGGTGACGATATCAACGAGAAGCAATGCAAGTAATGCACAGAAAGCAATTATCCTGTAAGCAAGCAGCCAAATGGGGTGCACTGATTTCGAACACGTTGACCAAACTTCATCTTCGTACAAACATCCGGCAGCCTCGTGTTGACTTTCGCCACTCGACTGCTTTCTGGATCCTTCATGTCTCCATATCAAAAGAGCTGAAAACACCGTTGCTATTAGGACCCATGTTGCACAGACTAAGAATTTCCAGTTCAACCAATAACTCGGGGCTGTTGAGTCAGCCGTCATGATCGGAAAACCCAAGCCCCCAACTAAACAGTNCAACAAAATTAAACCCGCAGCAAAGTCAGTTTGCCCCACAAAAAAATGATAATGGGGGACTGCTTAAACTGTGAGCATGTAAATTGCATGGGGCATATAACCACTGTTTCTCCGTCATTAGAAAGAAAAAAAAGATTCCTCACAAACTTTACATGTTTCATACAAGAAAACAAACAAACACTTAGAGTGCATGCCTTTTTCATATTATTTTACGAATACATTGTTTCCTCAAATATAAATTCAGCCCGGTCAACTTCAGAGAAAAACAAAAAAAGAAAAAAAACCCATCATACACGGAAAATTAAAAAGAAATGCTGCTGGGAATTGTACCTTGTTTTTTTCTGAATCAATGACCAATATATTCCCCAACGAAAAATCCCTTTTTTTTTACTTTATTATTTTTCCCATCAATTATTAGAGCGATCAGAAATAAAAGACCCCCATCGAAGCAGATTTTATGGGTAATCGTTGAGATCGTTTTATGCTTATTATAGGAACAAGAAATTCAAGAGAGATGACATTTTTATACTACTTTAAAAGCGAACGACATGCATACATATCAGATTTCATTAATTATTTTAATGGAGAATTATGTCATTTGTGGGTTCTGCATTGATCAATTAATAAAAAATTACACGACAGTTCATTGAACCGGCAGTTCCCAGTTCAGAAATCAGAATTGGCCCAGCAGGTTCGATCAAGTTCAGGGCGAATTGACGGGCCTATTTTTGTATATTTAAAAGAATGGGAGGTAGGGGCGGATCCAGAATTTTTTTTTTTGGGGGGACTATATATTTTTTAATAATCATAAATTTAATTTATTGTACATAAAAAATAGAAGTTGTATTATAAAATTATACATATTAATGGTGCAATATAAATTATAAAGTTTCAAACCTTAACATTAACAAATTAACATTGAACACTCTCTCAACTCATAAATATCATTAATGATTGCCTCTATAGTCCATACTAATGGTTTGATATTTTTTCTTTCCAAGCATATCTTATATGGTCTTCTTTTTCAAAAAATACCAATTTTTATTTTTTCACATATTTACTATATATTCAATTTATTTAAATTAGAAAAAATGTTATAGAAAAGTGTCAAAAGAGTATAATTGTAGTTGAAATATTAGTTGAAAGAGTAATACAATTACTATTTTAACATAATTGTGTAAGTTTATTTGAAAAATGATATACTTTATATATATATATATATATATATATATATATATATATAGAATTTGGATCATATGAGAAAGGGAGTTGGTGTAAGAAATAAGAATGAATTTGGATCATTAGATAAGTCATATCAATGGCTAAGATGAAGTCAAAATTTGGTCAATCAATAATGGCATTATGGTAAATAAGTATACACTTTAGAGCCAAATATACATTTTTACGAATTAATAGTGGCAAATTGGTCATTTCTTATCCCTCAATTAATCAACCTGGGCCCACCACTCACCCTTCC